AGTATCCCCCTAAATAACCCTTATAACCGTCCCCTATATAACCTCCCTGTAAGTAGTTTAGACTATGGCCCTAAACCCTAAAGCCTAAAGCCTAAACCCGAACATGCTAGTTTACAGGCTGCCTGGATAGCGGGGCCCCCGCTGATTTTCTTCAAGGCAATGTTTTGGGGTGCTGAGGGGTTTGGGTTTTGGGTTTAGGGTTTAAGGTTTAGGTTGGGATTGGGGCTCAAAATTCTAGGGTTTAGGTGTCCCCAGTCACTAACAATTTTTATTTGGGTGCATATTGAGTGTCTTATTTGACTATACAATATGTATCACCTAGCTCTAGCTACATGGATTGAACTGATGCGCGAAAAAAAAGGATAGGGATAAAACCCTAAACCCTAAACCCTAAACCCAAAGATAAGGAGTGCTTGAGGTGCCTAGCGGTTGGAAATGCCAGCGCCTGCTGAAGCCGCTGTGGCGCCTCTAGAATTGTCGCATGGATGAGGCTGAGGCTAAAGGGACTTTATTGGGAACCCCAAACAGGGAACCCCAAGAATATAGTAGGAATATAATCGGAATATACCTACCAGGGTCCTTATGTTCTATTATATTCCGATTATATTCTTGGAGTTTCCTGTTTGGGGTTCGAGGCTTCCAGCAGGTGCAGCTCCTGATAAGGCTTCGATGGTGGCTGCCGAGCAGGAAGCTGAGACAGAGAGACGTCGAGCTTTCCTCGACTCTCACGAGCAATGGCTTAATGGCTTATAAGCTAGGAGGACCCCCCACCCTGTACTAGTAGAATAATAAGGATTATTAGGGTCCTGTTATCTTCCTATTATACCACTATTACAGGGTGGGGGGTCCTCCTGACTTATAAGCGTTTTCACCGCGCAGTTACCTGGATATGTTGGAGGCTAGGCTGAGGGATGTTTTAGGTTTGTGGGGCCCCCAAGCCCCAACCCAAGTTTAGGGTTTAGGGTTTAGGGTCATCAAAAATGGTTGCGAAGCTCTGGATTTTGATGTGGCGTGCCGGATTTGCTGGCCTGGGGTACAGGGGTGTTGGAGGCTGAGGGTTATGGGATTAGGGTCTAGAGCTTCTGGCTTCAGGTGCT